TCATAGCTGGTAAACAAAGTTTTTTCAACTCGTCTTCTCCCAACCCGGCTTGCGAGCTGGTCGAAGTCTAGCAACGTTTCTAACAGCTTCATAGCTGGTAAACAAAGTTTTTTCAACTCGTCTTCTCCCAACCCGGCTTGCGAGCTGGTCGAAGTCGAGTAACGTTTTTAACAGCTTCATAGCTGGTAAACAAAGTTTTTTCAACTCGTCTTCTCTCAACCCGGCTTGCGAGCTGGTCAAAGTCGAGCAACGTTTTTAACAGCTTCATAGCTGATTTTCTAGGACAACTAGGGACACAATCGTTCGTGATTGATCGACGCTTGATCAATGCTCGTCGTGATTGTTTAGGGCCGACGTCATAATTGTAGATTTTATAGGTTCATTTTGAGTGGCAACTTCATAGTTATAGGTTTCATGATTACAAGTTTCATAGCTTAACCTAGATTCCGTTCGAGGCACACAACTTCGTAGTTGTGTTAGATCGACTTCGTAGTCGTAGGCTTCATAGCCTTTGGCCGAGATTCCACTCGAGGCACACAACTTCGTAGTTGTGTTAGATCGACTTCGTAGTCGCAGGCTTCATAGCCTTTTGCCGAGATTCTACTCGAGGCATACAACTTCGTAGTTGTGTTAGATCGACTTCGTAGTCGTAGGCTTCATAGCCTTTTGCCGAGATTCTACTCGAGGCACACAACTTCGTAGTTGTGTTAGATCGACTTCGTAGTCGCAGGCTTCATAGCCTTTTGCCGAGATTCCACTCGAGGCATACAACTTCGTAGTTGTGTTAGGTCGATTTCGGAGTCATAGGCTTCAATCGGCTTTATAGCCGCTTTGAAAAATTCGGTTTTTCGGGTAATCATAATAAAATCGACATGAAAATGTAAGAAACACAATCTTAAACATAAACTTGGGAGTCATTGCATTACTGAATTTGATTAAGCATTGCTCAGTACAAAAGAGTTCAAAATACTATTCTAGGCATAAAAACGTTTGAGATGGATTACGTGCCAAGATCGTGGCAACTGTCGTCCCTCGCCATCCTCGAGCTCATATACACCTCTCTCGAGCACTTTGGTGATGGTGTAAGGTCCTTCCCAATTAGCTTCAAGCTTACCGACATGTTTAAGAGCATCTGCTCGTTTGAGGACGAGATCTCTAACTTGAAATCGTCTGGTGCGGACTTTTCTGTCGAAGGCTGCACGCATCTTCTGCTTGTATTCCATGGATCGCACCCAGGCCTCCTCTAGTCCTTCTTCTATCATGTCGAGGGCCTCTTCGACCATCTCCTCGTTCTTCTTTTCCTCATAAAATTTCGATCTGTGTGAGTTTAGGCCGACTTCGATAGGCAGGAGTGCATCCATTCCGTAAACCATGTGAAATGGCGACTGTCCGGTTGAGCTTCTTGGGGTCGTCCTGTAAGCCCATAGGACTGTTGTCAGCTCATCGACCCAAGCACCTGTTGCTCTCTCCAATCTCTTCTTCAGTCCTTGGAGAATTGTTCGATTAGTCACCTCGAACTGCCCGTTAGCCTGGGGGTGTGCGACCGAGGCGAACCTTTGTTTTATTCCCATGTCGAGGCACCATGCTTGAATTCGTTTCCCCTGGAACTGAGTTCCATTGTCAGAAATTAGCACTTTCGGGACCCCGAATCGACAACAGATATTGTTAAACAGGAATTGGATCATTTTTTCCTCCGTAATCTTTGCCAACGGTTCCGCTTTGACCCACTTGGTAAAATAGTCGACAGCGACTACTAGGAACTTCCTCTGCCCTGTTCCCATTGGTAGTGGTCCTACCAATTCGATTCCCCATTGTGCAAAGGGGATCGGGGTGTTTATGGTCGTCATGTACTCGGCGGGGATGTGCGTGATTTGCCCATGTCGCTGACATTTTTCGCATTTCTGAACCAGCTGCTCTGCCATAGCTCGCATCTTTGGCCAATAGTATCCTGCTCGCAGGGCTTTGCCTGCCAAGGCTCGTGATCCTATATGTGCTCCGCAACATCCTTCATGTATTTCTTTCAAGACATGATTTCCTTCGTCTTCAGAAACGCATCGCAAGTGAGGCCCAACCAGAGATTTTTTGAACATGATCTCGTCGACCTCGAAGTACTTGCTTAGATATCGAGCAACCCTTTCTGCCTCCTGCTTATCTCCCATGGGTACTCGACCCTGCAGGAGTTCATGAATCGACTTTCTCCAGTCGTCCTTTTCCTCGACTTCCATCGTTTCACCCAACACGCTTCCCTCTATGTGCATGGTGGTGATAGAACTTCCCATCTTCCCCTTATTCGAGCTCGCAATTCTCGCGAGCCAATCTGCTCGTTTGTTTTCCTCTCGAGGGATTTGCGTTAGTTCAAACTTCTCCAGGCCCTGCACAAGGCTTTCGATTTCTTCGACATATTTCATCATTCGCTCTTCATTGATCTCGCAACTTCCCAAAACTTGTCCAACAACTAATTGTGAGTCGAAATGCGCCACAACTTCTGATGCTCCTCCGCCAATTGCGAGTTGAATTCCTTTGATTAACGCCTCATATTTTGCTTCATTATTCGAGGCCTTAAATCCCATTCTAATAGCAAAGTCAAGTTGTTCGCCCTCGGGTGAGACGAGAACGATTCCAAGACCTGATCCTTTGGCCGCCGAGGACCCGTCGACGTGAATAACCCACTTCTTCTCGTCTTCTTTTGTACCTTCCTGGATGAAATCCGCCAGGGCTTGAGCTTTTATGGCTCGCCTCGGCTCGTACTTGATAGAATATTCGCTCAGCTCAACTGCCCACTTAACGAGTCGACCTGATACCGTGGGTCGACCTAATGTTTCACCCAGCTGGAAGTTCGTCCTGACCACTACCACATGATTCAGAAAATATGGTCTTAGTTTTGTAGCCGTTATCACCAGTGTCAAGGCGGCTTTCTCAATTTCAGAATATCTTGTCTCCGCACCTTGAAGAATTCGACTGGTGTAGTAAATTGACTGTTGGACACCTCCTTCTTCTCGCAATAACACTGAACTTAGTGATACCGAACCCACAGATATATAAAGCACCAACTCGTCACCGGATTCTGGTTTCGTCAACAAGGGTAGCTCGCCTAAGAATTCTTTTAATTTTTCGAAGGCCATTTGTGCTTCGTCACTCCATGAGAAGGTCGACTTCTTCTTTAGTAATTTGAAGAACGGGAAGCTTTTTTCTGCGGCTCGAGCAATGAACCTACTCAGCCCTGCAATTCGTCCCGTCAGAACTTGTACATCTCTTATACTTCTTGGTGGGGCCATGTCGAGTATGGCCTTCACTTTCTCCCGGTTTACCTCGATTCCATGCTCATTGACGATATATCCCAGGAATCGTCCTGCCTTTACTCCAAAGGCACACTTGTTTGGGTTCAGCTTCATCCCGAACGCCCTAAGAGTTTGAAATGTTTCCCTTAAATCGTCTGGGTGTGAGGTCGAGGCTTTACTCTTCACCAAGATATCGTCCACATATACCTCGATATTTCGCCCGATCTGAGATTTGAACATTCGATCCATCAGCCGTTGGTAGGTTGCTCCAGCATTCTTAAGTCCAAAAGGCATGACGACATAGCAGTACGTCCCTTTACTCGTCACGAAGCTCACCTTACTTTGATCTTTCGGGCATAACGGGATCTGGTGGTACCCCTGAGATGCATCCATCATACTCAATAATTCGCAAACAGCCGTAGAGTCGACGAGCTGATCAATTCGTGGTAAAGGGTAATAATCTTTTGGGCAAGCCAAGTTTAAGTCACGGAAATCGATGCACATGCGCCATTTGTTTAGCGCCTTTCTCACCATCATGGTGTTGGATATCCACTCGGGAAGTTGGATTTCTTTGACATGTCCTGCCCTCAACAACTTATCCACCTCGACTTCAATTGGTTTGTCGATTTCTTCACCATGACGTCTAAGTCGCTGTTTTACTGGCTTTCTGAGGGGGTCGACGTTGAGTTTATGTTCCATAATAGCGGGGTCGATACCTGTCAACTCCTCAGGGGTGAAGGCAAAAATATCCCTGAACTTCTTTAGTAGTGTGATCAGTTGGTTTCGTAGCTCGACTTTCAGGTCTTTCCCGATCTTAGTGGTCTGTTCCTTTGTTTTTCCGATTTGTATTTCCATTAGCTCCCCGTGGGGTTCGAGATCACTATTCCTTGGCCTTTTCTCGTTCATCAATTGCTTCTTTCCCTCCTTAACTTCGGCCCGTTCGTTGGTTTTTACAGCAATTTGATAACAAGTCCTCGACAGCTTTTGATCGCCTCGAGCTTCTCCAACTTGGTCTCCGACTGGGAACTTTAGCTTCATATGGTAGGTCGATACTACCACCCGGAATGCGTTAAGTGCTGGCCTCCCCAGGATCACATTGTAAGCTGACTCGACATCAACCACCACAAATCTTACCATTTTCACCTTCCGCAAGTCACCTTTCCCTAGAACGACAGCGAGCATGGTTTCACCTAGGGGCGCGACCTCTGACCCGTTGAAACCGAATAGTGAGATATGGAGGGGTGTGAGCTGTATGTCGAGCTCCATCCTTTTGAGACAATCGTAAAAAATCACATTTACAGAACTCCCAGTGTCGACAAACACTCTCTGTACTTCATATCCAGATATTTGGGCCGTTATCATCAATGCGTCGTTCTGAGGCCTCTCTGTAACACCCCGAGTTTTATTAATAAAGGAATTACTAGCTTTTAATAGTAAGCTAGCCTTTGTTAATAAATAGTTATGTTCATGTTCAAGATCAAGAAATTCAG